GTTATTTTGACAAGAATAAGTCATATCAAATTTTAATGCATTCTGGATAAGTGATTTACTAACCCCATGGTTAAAAAATGTGAAGCCAATTGCCTATTTTGAACTTTCATTCCGTTGTGTATCTGGTTACGTGATAAAAAAGAGAGTAAAGTTATCACCTATTCTTGACCAGACGAATAAGCTTAACAAGCCTAATTCAGATTGTTAAACTGGCCGGCAATTGTATTGACTAAAAGTTAAAAATGATTGTTATTTCCTTTCACATCGATGTATAAATTTTCAACAAGAGTAAAATTCATACCTAAAGATTTTTGCTGTTGAGTTTTTCAACTTGAAAAGTACAAACTACAATAATTGACGTGTAGTAATTCTATAATTCTACTATTATTTTTACCTAAAATTTTGTGTGTAACATCAGGCTTCACCAACACAACGGCTTTTCACTTTTTTCTCTCCTCTTCATTAAGGTGACCACACGACCCACCATGAGATTTCATCTCCTCCTAGCACCATCTTCTCCACATCACACACGAATGACCAAATCTTCGTCTCCTATCTCTCCAGGAAATGTCCAATCCATATCCATTTCCTTATGCATATTTCTACAGTTATACCTCCCTGGTTGATTCATTCACACACTTCCTTCTCACTAATCCATTCTGGTTGGTCATCTGATGTTCAGTGTGAAGGCAGAGGAGTCAACCTCTGATGAAATTGTGTATCCACCTTTCGCGAATGCTGTTCGTAGTGTGTCACGTCTGTGAGGTATTTCGAGACACTGGCTCGGAAATCGGAATCTTGTTATCATGTTGTCTTCAGTAGATTTCCGGACTGACGTCAGATTGATGAATGTCTGTCTTGATTTTCTGATCGTCACAGCCGTTCACACCCGCATCTGTGCTTCTTGTTTCCGGTTGAAACGATATCGCCGATTGAAGCAGTTGAGAAAAACGGTTTCCTCTATATTTGTGCTGGTGATGGTGATATGTCTCTTGTTGGTGGTCAGCCATCTTCATTACCTATCTTCTTTATGTTCACTTGAACCACTGTTTTGGATGTCTTTCCCGACAGCGTAAAGGTAGAGCCTGTATGGCGTTAGACAGATCCTGTGCGAAATCCACATCTTCTAGAGCCTTCTGTAGCTGTAACGTATGCCCACCTTGTTATTATCTAGGATCAACTGTTAACTGAAACCTTTTTGTCACTTTTAGTGGTTTTTGAACTGTGCCATCAATATTAAATCCATAATAAATGACGGAATTATGACATTTCTAGGTGCAAATTTTGTAGTACACTTAATCATAAGACTTGAACACAGAAATAATGACAAATAGAACCAGATTAAATGAATCATGAGATGTCGAACGTGAGCAGTTCAATTTTGCGTTACTGGTTACAGGACATTTGTTGACAGAATGAACATGATGGAATGTATTCCTAATATATATGGTGATTTTTTGACTTATAGATCACTAAATTAACACAATGAATGAATTAAGGGAGAATTTGACGTAAAGGTTTTTCACTACAGTTATCACAATAGCCTTATTGTTTTTTTTACAAGTTCATCAATATAGTACAGCTAGGCGAAAAAAGAGGTAGAAATTCTTTGTACGCGTGACTTCCTGGTACTGATCTTAATTATCACCAATGATATTTCCAATTGCGGTGGACTGACTGGATTATGCGTCAGACAGTGGGAAACGAGAAGACAGGAATATCCTGGACCGACGTGAAGAACCTAGACGACCCGGATTTCGCGCGTGGATGATTTTTGTTTGATGCCACACAAAATCGAAGACTTACAAGCGAAAACCAACAAACTGGTCGAAGAAGCAGACAGTAGTGACATGACTCCAGGTGAACATAGACAAGACGGAGGTTATGAAAATAACCAACCACCACCACCACCACCACCAACAACAACAACAACAACAGCAACATCCAACGTCAATCACCATCAACGGGAGGGATTTGAAAGAGGTTACTTCATTCATTCACTGATCTAGGGAGCATTCTCTCAACTACAGGATGTTGGAACGGACGAGGATGTCAAGTCGAGCGAGAATCGGGGAGGCGAGCGAGAAACACATTCATCAACCTGAAATCAATCTGGAAATCTTCGTCGCTCAGCCAAAATCAACAACAAAATTCGGTCGAATTTTCAATACAAACAACGTCAAGTCAGTCAGCTCTTCAATACGGATCAGAAACTTGGCGGACAGGTCACAAAGAATATTTCCACCAACAGGCTATTGCAGACCTTTATCAACAACTAACTGTCTTCGCTGGCTCTATACTGGAGATCAGATGGCCGGGCCGGAAAGAATCACCAACAAGAAACTCTGGCTGGGAACAAACAAAGCAAGAACCAATCGCCAACCAACAGCAAATATGCAGGAGAAAGTGGATGGAGATGGATTGGACACTCGCTCGCTGAGGAGACCGCCACCGGGTGACATCGCGCGTCAGGCCATCGCCCGAGTGGAACCCGAAATTGAAGCGGCGAGTCGGTCGTCAGTGCAAGGGTGACATGGAGGAGATCGTGTGAAGAGGAGTTGAAAGAGTATGGAGTAACATGGATGCAGGTGAACAGTACAGCCGAAGGAAGAGAGAAGTGGCAAGTGGATACGTGCAGTTGAAGCCCTATGTTCCACTAGGAACCCAAGGGAGCAATAATAATAATAAAATCTGAACTCCCTGATGAGATGCTAGTATATTAACTTTAAATGCAGCTACCATTTGGACTATGCTGTTTTTGAAATCTTACAGACTGGGTTCAAGTTTTAATGAAGACACCATCTCTTACACTAATACTGGTACACACAGGAAACTAGTGCTATTTAAGAAGAAATATACGTAATAGGCTCCATTCTCAAAAAGTGAATGTATTAGTAAATCTAATACTCAATAGGATTGGATAAGTGTACCCATGGTTTTTGAGTGAAGGAAACCAATCACCATATTTTGTTGCTTTCAGTCTTTCCACTTCCAATTTCATACAAAGTTCTAAAATCTAATAAAGAAGGCTATTTTTGAAATTTCACTTTTCCTACTACAATGTACCAGATAATTCGTCAGCAAAATTTTCACATTTGATCTATTTCAATCAGAGAGGCGCTAAAAGCGACAGAGTACTGGACAGTTGTTTCGTCTTAGTTTGGGATTCTTCATCAGTACTCACCTCGTAACCTGTACGCGCTAGGTTCAATCACTCTTTAAAGCCTTTCAGTTATATGGTGTTCTTAAATGTCATTTAAACGCCCAAAGTGGTCAGTTGCTAATATCATTTAGTAACAAAAATATGGAATTACATATTATGAAAGACTGGATAAATTGCGAGACTTGGTTGTGCAGTCTGAGTGCTATTCACTACTAAATGCTTTTCGATTACATAAGGCCGGTCAACCAAGTGTCGCAATTTATTCATCTTTTCCATCACATCTAATTGCATATTTTTGTTTATCGACTTATATTAACAGCTGACTTTTATCAGCTCTTCCATGACATTTTGGAACTTTATATAACCCTTGAACTTTGATCAAAAGTTACTAAACGAATATTCCCTGTTGCTCCACGTCGTTTTAATACGTTACTATTATTATACAATTGGTGGATGGTGGCTAGCAGTGGAATCCAGGATGCGCATTTCGTCCTATTTGGGACTCGTCAGCTGGATGTACCTGCATTTCTCGGTGAGTGATGATGTTCCCACCGAGGCTCGAACCCAGTACCCATAGTTTCGAACGCCAAAGCGTTATCCACTAGACCACTTGGGCCACGAGAGCCACCTCTTGTGCAACGGGTCATATTAATTATTGAATTGAATTTTTGATTTTCCCGTCGATTGATTGGACCGAAGTGTTCGGTCTCAGGTTGACATGTCGGCTTCTTGTGCAGATGCTTCGACGATGTCTGGGTATTTAATTAGTATATCAATCGACGGGAAAATCAAAAATTCAATTCAATATTACTATTATTGTTTTTTAGTAACATCGGATTAACCTGTTCGATGGAGTCACTAACTTCGTAACTGGTTGCCACAGAGCTGAGGAGAGATTAGTTTCTCAAAGATTACACATACATCATTCCATTGCGTTCCGACAGACAAAAATTCTACTTGAAGAAAGATGTTTGAGTTTCCTGAATGCCTTTAACCGTATTTTCTCTATTGTTATTGGTGATTCAATTATTTCAGGAGCCTTTCTGATTGGCGTTCAACATCTTAAAACTGTTTCCTACTTTCGTGCAACTCCTTTCGTTGTCATTCAGTTTACACGTCTGTAATCATTGCAATTATCGTGATAATAGTAATTATCATGATCAATGTTTCCATCATTCACTACTCTTACTTTGACGATGTGACCTGAACACTCTGAAATATGCGATTTGTACACAAGCATATAGCTTTCTTGAGAAAGCCACTGAGAGAGGATGTCATTGCTTAATTTGACATCTTCATGTCCTTAGCAGTGAAGACTACTAATTTTGTCGGAGTTGGTAGGGTGTTTCATAGTTTCACTGGTATTGAAGTATAAAATATCACCTGGCTGTCAGCTGAAAATCTATTCACATTCTACAAGGAGTAGAAAACGCGGTCAACTGAGGGGGGGATTTTAAAACAAAATGTCGATGTTAACAAGTGAAATAGTACTAATCCCAGTCAATGTCATTTTTATTTCTGCCACCACCGTTATTCTGGTTAATTACAAATAATTTCAAAATAATAACATTTTTAATAAAATGGTAGTTGAAAAAGGTAAGCTTTCTGAACAGAGTTTGTATGCACAAACTCAACCGTCAGTCAGCTTGGGTTGTGTATTTTTTTCAAGACACGAATGTTTCTCTATGAAACTCTTCTCTGTGAAGAGTATAATCATATGATTTAACAAAGTATTATATTTTTTAACTCTAAAAATATTATCTAGTGTAATAATGTTTGCAAGTATTTTATGGAGTACTACTGAAAAATGGTGTTTTACTAACTCAGACCAATCACAGTTGAGATGAGAAAACTTTAAAAAAAATAGAAACCAATCAAAGTTCACTTGCACAGAGTATTTAACTCAGGATTAACGGTATACAATTTCAGCCTTCGTCGCTGGCTGTTTCATCTAACTGGTAAGTGTAAACGTGATTTGATTCTGAAATTTATTCCTTGTATTTTGTAAGTTTAAGGGCATTACTTTCCAGACTAGACTAGACTAGACTAGACATTCTAGGTATCAAATGGTTAGCATCTGGTTCCTTAAATACACATTTGAATAAGACAAGAGGGCATTTTTGATTGAATGACTTTTGAGAATTCGCTGTCACATTTTTGGATATAGTGAGTACTCCTTTACGGAAGGATTCATGGTAGTCAGTATGTATCTTAGACATTTGAATAAATTTCCCTGAGTTATTTTTACTTTTTCATACACACTGTGTAATCAATGAAATGTAATCAGTGAAAGAAAGAAGTTGCCCTTGAAATAATCCTGGAGTCGATAGACTATTTTACCAGGTGTTATTTAGTTTACGGTGTCTAGAAATGAAAACTTGCACGGATATTTCGTCTCTTATCTGGCATATTTTATTTATCAAACTTCATTACCTTTACAGTGTTAAACTCAGAAGTTTGTCCCACTGAAGAATTCACAGTATTCAGTAGGATTGTTTGACAAAAACACAAATACTAGGTGTTTCATAATCTTGAAATGGAAGTATTAGCTTAATACACGTTCAACACTCGAATACTGACTGTCTTCCAATGATTTCTGTTCATAATTATAATAAAATTCAAGATGTATAAATCATCACATCCAAAAGGTTATCAAGACTTGGCTAATTTACTGGCTGGTAGTCAGTTATGGAAAGAGAGAAGGTCGAGTGTGAGGTTGACGACTCATCTGCATAAACATAACACCAGACTAACTACGACTTCAAAGCTTGGAGCCTAATGCTTTGCTCAATACGCATGAGTTGAAAAGGATTTAATAATGATCTTGAAATAAGTAATAGTAGTGACTGATTCGTGAGGAACATCTGAAGCTCTATGTAGGATTCTTAATAAGGCAGGAATTATCGTCACATTTTAAACTATTAATTCACTCAGAGACAAACTCTACTGACCTGGGGATTCAATTAATCCAATCAGACAAAATCATATGAGTTATCACGTATCATATAATGACTGCCAATTGATACACATAGATCACACCATCAGATTGTGGTCGGTTAGATTATCAGAACATAGAAAATTATCTAGATACACAATGGCACAATCAGCTGTCTCAACTGATCTGGTTAAAGCTCAGTCATTGTTTTGCACCCACTTGATCCAACCGTATTGTAGGTATTGAAACAGAATATAGTTAGATGGAGAGAGAGGATAATCACCCAACCTCTGCTCATCGAATCAACAGCTAATACATGTGACAAAAATGAAGTAATACCATTTCACAGTTATGGGAAATTAAAATCAAATCACGAGAAGTTAAAACTATGTAACCCAAATGAGGAAGTCCTGTGATTCTATTCATACGATTTCCACTAATAAACTATGCTTGAGACGTGGTTTAGTTATTCATACTGTATCACTTTGTGTTATCTCAAATACACTTATCCAATGTGCAAAGACATCATACCACAGTTTCCAAATTTTACTCCTGCATGAGTTAACTGTAACCTGAAATAATTAATCCTTGTATAATTGCTTGACAAGAAGAAGAGGAAGCTTTAAAGTTACAGACGAAGATTATTTCTGAAAGATATCAAGTGACAGATCTGCAGAACACCTTTTCTCCAGTTATTTACGTACATAATTTTAAACTGATTAGTATACGGATGTTTCAGATTTCCACTGTTCACCACCACTTGTTGAAAAGATTAGTTTCCTTTAAAGTGTCGCCACTCCGGATCCGTGTTTCTGTTATGTCTTTGGTGTTAACTTACTGATGATATTTATAGGTGATGAAGAACAAAGTGCTTCCAACTGACTAGTGTCAAACAGGACATAATTTACTTCATATGTTTCCCTGCTAGCCACCGTCACCCATCAGATAACTAAAGCTAGTTGATGCAGTTTGAAAGGTTATATCCTTAATAGTTCTAAGTGTTCTTTGTTTTAGACATGGAATATCATTCAGATGCATTTTAATAGACTCCGCCATTATCTCATCTTTGGTTCTATCAAGATGACGTGCTTAACTGAAATTACTTCCAACTTATTAGTTTACGTGGAATTCCAGCGATGTTGTAATTGAAAAATAGAGACATTCCACTAAACAGTCAAAACCTGAAAGTGTCTGTCTTGTTCTGTGAAGAATTTCCTGTTTGAGCAGACGTTAGTGCGAAGAATTATAACATGGAATTTGATGAAGTTTATTTATATAATTGGCTGAATGACTCTCAATCTCACATTTCGTGTAGTTTGTATTGTGGGATTTCTTTCAACAAGTAATAGTGTCCTAGGACCTCTGACACTTATGATTAGGTGTAAACGTTGGAAATAATTCCTAAACCCTTTATGTTAGATCCCAATATCTAATTAATACATTCGAATTCAACACCCAAGCAACAGTGCTAACAAAGTAGACAGCTGTCCTGATGTAATTAGAGAAATTTCTAGCCCCATTTATTATGAGTCAGTCAGTAGGTTGTGTGTTTACATCACAGTTGATTTTAGTCACTAACTAGTAAGCAATACAAGTATAAGAGTTATTTTCTTTCGTTGGTGTTTCAGTGGTAGAACGAGCACCAGCCATGCACATCGACCGGGATTAGACTACCAGTTGACACAGTATTAAGCCTCTCCTTGTTTACAAACAAAGTGTGAGCCTGGTGAGGACTAAAGATTAGGCGAGAGGCTGGCAATCTGATCCTGTAAAATAAGAGAAAATATCACAGATGATGAAACCTAAAAGTTTATGCTTGAAAGTCACTCATGAACTCGGAATGCAAAAGAATAAAAAGAATCGTTTCAAAAGTTGTTATTTTTCTTTTTACTGATATGAAAATATTCACTTTCACAAATCACATAATAACAAAGTTAAATATACCTGTTTTCTATTATTTCGTTCAGACGCTGAAAATAATTTTGGGTTAACAATGCTTACGAATCTCGAGGCATTGCGTCTGCTATTCTTAATAACATATGCAAATAGTGTGGCAGTACCTGTAACTGATTCAGGTGAGATAATTTTGTAGTGAATAATTTTGTCAGATATGATTTCATTTGAATCACACAGTATCGTGTTTATAACGAGGATAGAGAGAAAATTTCGGTGGCCCATTAACAGTTAAACGAACGAATTGATGAATTATTCACTTTTACTTCTCATTGTGACAAACCATAAATTGTCGATTAGTTTATCTGATATTTCATATTGACACACAATTACTGATGATATGCAGAGTATTACCAAGTTTACAGTTATATACTATAAACCTCTTTGCAGGAGTAATTCAGATTTCGGTGGGGATGATTTCCAACTGCCTATCACAAAGAGAAATTTACGCAGTCGTTTTCAGTCATTATTGGTGATGGTAGAAATAGTGTTATATCTCCATCAACTCATCAAACTGTTTTAAGTAGCCTACAGTCTTGAACACATGATCGTCAACTAGTATGCATCTCTGTAGTTGGTTGATGGCATGTATGGTAATGATGGTTGTCTGCAGCACACTGTTCACAAGCTCATCATCATAGCCTTTGAGAGTGTCATATTCACGAGGGCCTTTGCAATCATCTCAGAGAGACTAACAGTTGAGATGTGAGAAGGGAATCTCACGACAATTTAATAATAATAATAATGACAACTTTCTTCCAGACAATATGTTAACACATGGTGCAGAATTTTCAGAGTATTTAAACCGAAAAATATCTATTCTCCGTACAGGATCGTTAAGTAGAATGATGTTCTGCAGTACATCGTGTGACGCTATGTCATTGCTTCTGAAGTAATATCCACATCTCCACGATGCTGTTTCCTCATTTCTGTTGTGAAGTGGTACGCGTTACAACAAAGTGATATTGTGTGTGAGTCGATGGAGCTATTCAAAGACACAGCTTGATGATTAGAGCAATAAGAAATGGAGAAGTGTGTATGCATTATACCGGATGGGAATTTAGGTGATCCAGTGAAATCCTTAGCTGTTGTACACGCAACCGTTCCTTAGCCTGCTAATTAACAGACAAAATTGTAAAAGTAATACGGAGACTCACAAGATTATCTGAATACTTCTGACGATACTGATGAGCGCTGATCAAACGAAGTGATCATTAATCTGAATATCTTTAAAATTTATTCAGAACAAGAATAATGTGAGTGAACATTTGTTTTGAATAAATTCTTCTTCAGGGTATACAGTTACCAATCCATTGAATTTGGCATACAATAGTCAGTAAATATAAACTAGTATTACAGCAAGTGCAAGATAGACTAATAGTCGGTGGCTTGTGATATCGACAAGAATAAGATTGCACAAAGTGAAATCAAGTAACACAACTCAATAAAAGATGCAACCTAAGGTGATAAACATAATTTGAATGGTCATGAAATTGTAAAAGGTCTGTAATAAAACTTTGCTATTGAAACAAATGGAAAAATAGAGAAGCCTTGAATGGAGAACTAGAGTGTTTATTATTAATGCTTATACAGGAATAGTTTGCCTCAATGTAGACCAAGGACATATTTCTTTTCGATACAGAGACCGGATCTCCTCATTTCGATTCCTAGCCCTTCGGCTACTGATGGAAAGTGCAGTCGACCTTCTGTAGACCGGTTACTGGAGACACAGTAGATCACTGAGAGTGCCTACTCTGGTTTAACAGGATACCAGCTATCCACCAAGTGAGAAAAGATTACACCATTTACCAGTTCGGTGACCATATCGCCCAGCCATATAGCCACATATTCACTTGATCATTTCTCATTTTCTGCACCTAAGAATCTATGTTGATGCAACTAAGTATCAGATTTATGAGTTATACAGCATACAGATGTATCGAAAGCACAACGAATGTTGAGAAATCTGCCGAGTCTCGACTTACGTGTGTTAGTCTAAATGTAGTCTGACATATAGTAGAGAGATGAGGTGCGTTACCTCAAAGCTGAAACGTGTGGCATAGAATTCAGATAGAACAGAAATGTACACAAATGTAATCGTGATTCCATTGGTAACGAAAATGTACGGGGTTGACAAGTACTCAGAGTTTACGTATCTTGATAAATTCTGCTTATGATGCTATCTGTTGCAGCAATGGAAATTTTACGATTCAGCTAAAAATGGAGAAGATTTGTTTTCGTCAACACTCAGAACTAAACGTTTCTGGTTTCCGTTACACAAATGGTACGCATGCATAGATAATTGTTTCGACAGCACATTGCCTTCTCACTCTCTACCCTCGTCATTATTAAGGCGAATGCACGACCCACCATGAGTTGTCATCTCCTCCTAACACCATCTCCTTCACATCACACACGGATGGCCAACTCGTCTTCTCCTATTCTTATGACAATTGAGGGACTGGTGTGTCGTAACACACAACTATCTCTAGAAAATATCCAATCTATATCCTTTTCCTTATATTTCTTCAGTTATAGCTGCCTGTTTGGTTCATTCACAGACTTACTTCTCAATAATCCTATGCGACTGGCCGTCTGATGTCCAGTATGAAGCCAGAGAGAAGTCAACTTCTGATGAAATTGTGTATCCACCTTTCGCGAATGCTGTTCGTAGTGTGTCAGGTCTGTGAAGTATTTCGAGACACTGACTCGATATTAGAATTGGAATTCGGAATCTTGTTATCATGCTGTGTTCAGCATATTTCCGCAGTGACTTCAGATTGATGAATGTCTGTCTTGATTTTCTGGTAGTCACAGCCGTTTACACCCGCATCTGTGCTTCTTGTTTCTGGTTAAAACGATATCGTCGATTGAAACAGTTGAGAGAAGCAGTTCCTCCTTTATTTCTTCTGGTGATGGTGATATATCGCTTGTTGTTGGTTAGCCATCTTCATTACATGTCTTCTCTGTGTCAATTAACATTGTACTCATAAATCCGTCAAGGATTGTATAGCTAGAGAGAGAGACGTTACGAAATGTCACCTCTTCACTGACTGATGTGTTATCAGTTGAGGTCTCGTAGAAAATATCTATACTTTGCAGATTCGTCTTACTGATAGGTGCTGATCAAGCATCAGGACTATATGAAGTCATGCTTCTAGTCTATATGTTGATTTGTATTTCCTGTCTGTCGATTATTTGGAATGGAGGAGTCAGATGTATTCACATGACGAGTAACAAATAGAACGCAATGCATCTCTTGGATTCCATTGCTTGTCAGCACCTAGTTGATAGTCTCACTTGGTTTATTATTTTCTAGTTTATAAAAACGTCTATGAGCCACTGAATTTGCTTAACAACATTTGCTTTCCTTATTAATTTAGGTGACCATCAAAGTACGACATTATCACCAATCATATCTACTCATGGACAACATGACGTTTATACAACTGAGGGTGCATGGATTACACACAACTCTGAATCACCAGCAAAACATTCTGACAATGATGTGTACACAGAAACGACACCATCACCATTCGATGCTTACAGTGACACAGGAAATACACCTCATCACCATGCTGGCTACTCTGATTCTTATACAGATGAATCCGACTATGATTCAGAGAGAGTAACTACAGGAAACCATGGTCATTATGGTTATTCCCAGGATAAGACAACAAATGAAATTCCCAGTTCAACGACACTACCTCCAAGCGTCTCTACTCATGGACAACATGACGTTTATACAACTGAGGGTGCATGGATAACACACAACTCTGAATCACCAGCAAAACATTCTGACAATGATGTGTACACAGAAACGACACCATCACCATTCGATGCTTACAGTGACACAGGAAATACACCTCATCACCATGCTGGCTACTCTGATTCTTATACAGATGAATCCGACTATGATTCAGAGAGAGTAACTACAGGAAACCATGGTCATTATGGTTATTCCCAGGATAAGACAACAAATGAAATTCCCAGTTCAACGACACTACCTCCAAGCGTCTCTACTCATGGACAACATGACGTTTATACAACTGAGGGTGCATGGATAACACACAACTCTGAATCACCAGCAAAACATTCTGACAATGATGTATACACAGAAACGACACCATCACCATTCGATGCTTACAGTGACACAGGAAATACACCTCATCACCATGCTGGCTACTCTGATTCTTATACAGATGAATCCGACTATGATTCAGAGAGAGTAACTACAGGAAACCATGGTCATTATGGTTATTCCCAGGATAAGACAACAAATGAAATTCCCAGTTCAACGACACTACCTCCAAGCGTCTCTACTCATGGACAACATGACGTTTATACAACTGAGGGTGCATGGATTACACACAACTCTGAATCACCAGCAAAACATTCTGACAATGATGTGTACACAGAAACGACACCATCACCATTCGATGCTTACAGTGACACAGGAAATACACCTCATCACCATGCTGGCTACTCTGATTCTTATACAGATGAATCCGACTATGATTCAGAGAGAGTAACTACAGGAAACCATGGTCATTATGGTTATTCCCAGGATAAGACAACAAATGAAATTCCCAGTTCAACGACACTACCTCCAAGCGTCTCTACTCATGGACAACATGACGTTTATACAACTGAGGGTGCATGGATAACACACAACTCTGAATCACCAGCAAAACATTCTGACAATGATGTGTACACAGAAACGACACCATCACCATTCGATGCTTACAGTGACACAGGAAATACACCTCATCACCATGCTGGCTACTCTGATTCTTATACAGATGAATCCGACTATGATTCAGAGAGAGTAACTACAGGAAACCATGGTCATTATGGTTATTCCCAGGATAAGACAACAAATGAAATTCCCAGTTCAACGACACTACCTCCAAGCGTCTCTACTCATGGACAACATGACGTTTATACAACTGAGGGTGCATGGATTACACACAACTCTGAATCACCAGCAAAACATTCTGACAATGATGTGTACACAGAAACGACACCATCACCATTCGATGCTTACAGTGACACAGGATATTCGGCTCATGGCCATGCTATCGCATCTGGGACTTCTGGTCCATATGAAGATGCAGAAGACTACAGAGATGGCGAAGAAGCGTTTCCAATACAAAAGACTACTGGTAACCCACCGCTGTATGACCTAGGTTTATCTGATGAGAAAGATGAGAAGGAAAATGGAAGTGATTCAGAATCTGACAGTGATAGTAGTGACGACGAAGACGATGAGGATGATTATTATTAATCCCATTAGATAAGAATGATGATTTATATTTGCTATTTAAAACTGAATATCTAAAATTCATATAACAGACTAAAAACAGTTTTCATTATTCTAAATTCATTTCATTCTATAGAATACATTCTACTTGAATTTATTTTGAAATGCAAGTAACATTTGCTCACTATTCATTTTCTGTTGTCATCAAATCATTGTTTTTTATTTCTGCTTAGTATCCCGTCACATATGAAACAGTTTACTAATATGTAAGAGAGGGAAAATAATTAATCTATGCAGTTTTTTTTACCCAGTTACTTCAAGAATCGATTGAAAAAACAGTTTTGTGTATTGTGAGGAAGCATTAGTTTATAGTCAAATGTATTCTAAAGATTTTTGAAATGTTTTCTTAACTGAGAGGAAGATTCAAAAAGCTTAAACTATTTTTTGGAAAGTACTATATGAAGATTACAACAGGCCGTTAGAATACTCTCGCACGCCATTCTGTAGGGTGTAATTTTACAGGATATTTAAATGTAATCCATTGTTATCAAAATCAATCATCTGTTAGTGAGAAGTAGGCTGTGTGCTGAGTACAGTTTGTCAACAAGTCATCCTAAATCGTTTGACGCAACCATGGTGACAGGTAGCCGTGTCACTGAGGTTTAGAGCGAGAAACGCTATCCCAGCGCTCTTACGGCCAATTTTGTAAGAGGGATCTGTGATGTGAATGCTCAATGGATCATCAAATAAACCTGTTGAATAGGAACTTCAGTTTCTTAAGGTATCAGAAACTCTGCATAATTTGCATTAGTAAAGATGAACGCTATCATGTACATGTGGTTCAGTTTATGGTAAGCAATAGGACTGAGCGAAGAAATATTTACTTTTCAATTAGATTCCCATCTCTGGCTCTACTCTAATATACATTTATGGCATTTTTATCATAATACCGAACAATTTTCCAATCAAGTGGCAATATGTTTGTTAACAACAATTAGTCAGTATCAAAATTTCAAGAGGGTGATAATTAGCGGAGAAAATTAATGCACACAATTAAAAGATAGGAATGGTTACAATAAGTGGATTGCATAATGCGTAATATTTGAAAAATCAATAGTAATTAGGTAATAAGCGAGTGCTAAAGTTGTTTACGTAACAGATTATTTTGAAAAAATAACACGATTTGGACAATGAGAGCTTGTAATTAACGATGAAGTAATCAGAAAAATAATATAATTATTTGGACTGTTATGATTTTTAAAGTTTAGGGAAGCAGGGCTAAGCAGTTCGGTTTATACATTCATGCAGCGAAGGCCAAGATAAGGAAAGTGTCTGCACAAATTTCTTCTAAACACACAGGTTTGGCTTCTCCAGATGGATTCAAATGGTTTCAGTTGTATGTTGAAGACGAACTTATAAAGCAAAATTAAGATTTGTAGAAATGCGATAAATAATTTTAAATGCCATGTTAACATCAACTTTATGCTCATTGTCTACAAGGTGTGCTAAAAGCGAGCTACAAACAGATCTTGTTTGTCTCTTGCTTAACCATGCTGGGTGATGTTAGGAAATGTGATGATGAACCCGCCTAAATGTACTCCCAATTTAGCTGGCTCTACAACTGTAGTCAAACTGGTAGATTCACATAGAGGAAGCAAATTCAGGTAGTTTGCCCTTATTTCTCGAACGTAAAATAGTAGTGATTGTGAAAAGGTGACGTACCTCTGCTGTGATGTGAGCTCTTATAACTGTATCCTTCAGGCACTGTGTTACTATTTCGCTGATGTTGTCACCGAGGAGTTGCAATTTTATCAGCAGGGTTTTTTGGGAACATTCGCCATACTGAATCTCCTTGGTGCTAAATTCATATTTTTCACAACGAACTTATCCGCATAACAATTATATGGGCTACCAAAAAAAGCATAAAATTCGTTTGTCACTTCGACTTGTGCTGTACATGTGTAATTCCCCATATCAAGCAACAGCAAAACAGTTGGTGAGGGTCCTGTAATTTATGCATAACCGGTTGGTAAAACACAGCGTAAAAAGAGGGTGTATCTTATCCTTCTGATTTTCGCTTAGACATCTTCATCCGTTCCACCTGTGGTCTAAACAATGCATCCTAGATAAGTGAAGAAAGTTACCTCTTTTGAATTTCCCCTACTCATCGTTATTGTAGCTGGTTGCTGGTGTTGGTAATTAGCTGTTAATCTTCATCACCTCCGTGAAGTAAGTTACCTCTTTTACGTTCCTACCATTGATACTGACTGGTTCTGTTTGATGTCACTGTTGGTTGCTGGTCAGTTTCCTGGTTGGTCACCTTCATTAACACCATTTCCACCTGGGGTCCTGTCTTCGCTTCTCTCTTTCGCTGCCACTTTCTCGGATTTTGCCTGCCAGTCTTCAAGTTTGTGGGATATCTGCAAAAAGCAGATCTCCTGGAGTCTTCTTATCGCTCCAGTGTATTCCTGTCTTCCTACTCACATAAACGGTGTGCTGCATAATCCAGTCCACCGCAGGCAGCCGTGTCTTACTCTTATATTCACTTCGAATGCCTCACTGAGTCTTCCGTTATGGATCACCTGACACGTGCCACTCTCATATAGCCAGCTGTTGAATGAAGTCAATAAAGACTTGGAAACTACATGCCGTAGTGTTGAAGCAGTTTCCAAATTACTTCACGGTCAACGCTGCCTCGTGAAGGCGTTTTCGACATCGATGAAGTTAAGGTAGGTAGAGGTTTGATTGGCATTCTATGCTCCTTTTAGCAATGATAGGTAGAGTTTCAATTTGATCGACACGTGATTTGCCTTTCCTGAATCCAACCAGCTTGTTTCGGGTGGTGGTGATCTGCATCCGGTGCATGCTTATTTCCCGCCCTTTCAGGATGAGGCGACTCAATATTTCACTTGGCGTGGAAAAGACCATGATTCCACACCAGTTACTGCAGAGACTCAACTCGTCCTTCTTTGGTATTTTCCCAACGTCTGCAGATCAGTAGGCACATTTCCTTCTTTTCAACCTTATGCAATAATGGTGTCAGCATATCAGCTGTAGTTTCTGGGTCCGGTTTCAGTGATTCAGTGAGGGCGGATCCCGTTTGACCCTGCTAACTTTCTGGATGGCCTTCAGAAGCCTGACTGCATTCAAGACTTCTACTTTCATTGAAGGATTTGTGTCCACTGGCAGGCATTTTTGTGTGTGTTCTGTCGGTGGTATTGGTCGGCGAATTGCAAGTGATGCTTGATTTGATCTTTACTTAGCAATTCTGACAGTCCATATCCATTTTTATCTGCTCTCGCAGACTTACAGCACCTGTATACCATATCTTCTCATTTCTTCGGTTACCTGGGCACTCTTCTCAGTCCCATACATTATACGTAGATTTCACGTCCCCATTCTTATTCTTGCTTTCATCGAGAGTAGAAATATCAGCTGACAGGCTTTCCGGAAGCCTTCACCAGGCAGCATCATTTCGTCTCTCTTATTCCAGCGAAGAATAAGTTTTTTAAATAACTTTCATATTTTGAATGTTTTTCTTGAGTGTTGAAGTTCCTGTAGTGGTTCGACAGATTTTCTGGGGTAGGTTTCCTAGCCCCAAGTCCAAAGCTCATTCTTTTCCTGAAAACTAACACAATGTGCTATTAACGTGTTATTTTATGTAAAAAATAAAGCTTATATCAACCAAAGTAAAAATCTCTAAGAACTTCTAGTCTTCAGGTTCTAATATGACTACTACTTCGTGTACACTCATAATTAACAATAATTTCTGAATCGCATAGATCATTGGTTGAATGTAAACCGAGATCTAAAATATTTATAAAGCTCCTCTTTTTAGTTCGAATCAAAACATTCTCACACTTATGCAAATAACTAGTAAGACGACAGATGTTGCGTAGTGAAAATGATTTGATAATATTTATTACTTCTGTTTCTTCAAAATGTTTCTCCCTAATATAAAGAATTAAAATAAAAAGACAATGCATGAAACCGCAGGCATGTTATGTATTCCACCTTCATTAAACTTTCTCTTCTTTCTTTGCAAATGCCTAACTCTAAAATACACTTTATACACATCCTGACTCTCTTACTCTTGTAACAGCAAGAGGTAAGACAGTGGCAGCCAAGGTATAGTTTCAAGTGGTCAAACCTCTATTCATATATATATATATATATATATATATATATATAGAGAGAGAGAGAGAGAGAGAGAGAGAGAGTTTTACACTCTCTAACCAATCACTGAGCGTGTGGTTTTGGTTTACATTACACTACATGAAACACAATGTTCTAATGCATATATTATTCTGTTGCTTATGCACCACTGAACTGTGTGAATATGTGAGAATAATATTCCGTTGGAACACATTGTCTCTATCAGACCACCACACCCTTATGAACAATATTTCTATTTCTGCGCTCTTACAGTTTTAATGATAACTGAAACTGAGCCCAGTTCATCACTATTCCCTACTTCAGATTTGCTGGAGAGAAGGTTCTTGGCTGGTTGGCTGATAGAAGCCCTTGTTACTTGTTCTCTCCATCTGCCGTCTGATCCTCGGTATTGAGAAACGAGAGGCAGAAGTCGGTTATTATTTTTATTATTAATACTATTGTTATTGTTATTATTACTGGCATCATTTCACTGCGTCTACCGATTTTTATGCACGTGTGATCACACGTAACTAAAGAAAAACCATGGATCTTCAGCGGTCAGAGTTACCGAACACATTTCTAAATGGCCACGAGTAAAATTGAAATTGATTGATTCAATGAACTCTGGAAGAGGATGCCCAGTGTCATCTATAGCGAAGAGTATAGTGGAGACAGGTTGTAAAGTTGATTCCAGTGGTACCTATAAACCCATATATACAACAGCTTTCGGCCGTGCACTTAAATCCCCTCAGATCCCAGACATAAAATCGCCTACACATGTTTTGTGCTAAGAGTTAATTCCTAGTACTTCGAAGATGCCTTGTTGGTCCAATTTCTGTTACGCAATGGTGTTTCCATCCTCCTCATTCCTACCTCATCTTTCTACACCTCACCTGTGATCCTGTCTCACAAACATTTCGACTTATATTGATTCAATCTCGATTCTCCTCTTTTATAAAGACGTGTGAGAAGTACTTGTTTGTGTGATCGAAATGTTTGAAATGTGTTGCTCAAATTCATCACACGCTTCCGATAAATTACATCGTCTGATTGTTTTGTCGAAATCCATTTCACCTACTTAGGAGTAGGCAGGCAGGAGAATTGCAATTAAGTGCAAGAGGAAGCATGACTACACAAAGAAGAAGGTAAGGAGATGTGTGAAGATGATAATGTGATTATGAACTATGAATCCTGCCTGAAAATTCATCCAACACTGAGTCACAATGTGTTGTGTGGAATGAACTCTTCGTCCTACCACAGTGGTCAAATTCTCCTCTTGCTGACCTTACCAGTCCAAGATTATGTAAGAGGCAAAAGTGGTGCATTTATTCAAATGATATGCTTCTTGAATTTAATTTCGAAGATGGTTTGAATACTGATATGTTTTATTATGTTTGACAAATCGGCAAACTTTTCATTTGTGATTGTCAGTTGGAACTATAATTGTTCTTGACGTGATATCCAACTTCAAAATTTGTGCATTTCCTCGTTTCTTTCTATTCGAATTTCACAACGCCCATCTTCAGTTTGTAATTTACACTCCTCACTC